CTATTGATTGATAACAACTTGGAAAAACATAAAAAGCATTATGTTGTGTTTATGTTAAGGTAATTAACCTTGTCTCAAAGGTCACATATTGACAGTCTCAAAAGCCAAAAACCATGGAAAATAGATCAATGGTTAGGGGCAGGGTTAAGGTGTGATTACAAACGAATAATATGAAAATCATACATGAAAGAGTAGAAACCATCCTATATCCCAATATCTATCTATCTATCTATCTATCTATCTATCTATCTATCTATCTATCTATCTTGTATGAACCATCCTATATCCTGATGTTGGTGATATATACATATTCTGCACCAAAAGGGGGAGAATTTTCTTATAGGGAAATTTAATTTAATTTTTTTGTTTAAAATTAGAATAATCCTCTGTATTACATTATGGCTTCCAGTTTAGTATTTTTATAGAATTCCTGAGTGTATGAACAGGTGGGTCTCTCTTTCTTGTGCCTTCTCTTGGACTCTTTTTCTTCTATTTACCTTGTCCAACTTAGACTGACAGTTTTTGTTTTACCTTATTATATTTTATTTTGATATATATATATATATATATATACATACTTAAAAATGAATGGATGAATGTAGATCTACTAGGGGAAAGGTTAACAACTGAACTGTCACTCATACCTGCTGTGAGAAACTGAAAATCAGTTTTTTTCTTTTCCTCAATATATGTTTTTATTTAAATTAGAAACATGAATGCTTCACATATCAACCCCTACTCCCTCTCCCACCCCTCCTACCTTGTCCCTCCACCAGCCTCCCCAACCCCCCACCCAATCCCCACATCACTCCCCAGGGAGAGTGAGGCCCTCCTTGGGGGGGGATCTCCAAAGTCTCTCATTTCATCCACGGCAGGACCTAGGCCCTTCCCCATGTGTCCAGGCTGAGAGACCATCCCTCTATTTGGAATGGGCTCCCAAAAATTATTCATACACCATGGTAAACACTGATCTACTACCCAAGGCCCCAGTGATTTCTATGGCCTCCTCCCTGGCACTACATTCATGGAGTCTGGATCAGTCCCCTGTTAGCCTCTCAGGCATCAGTCTGGGATTCAAGAGCTCCCCCTTATCCGGTCAGATGTCTTTGTGGGTTTCACCATCATGGTCTTGACCCCTTTGCTCATCACTCCTCCATCTCTGTCACTGGGTTCCACGAGTTCAGTTCAGTGTTTAGCTGTGGGTATCTGTCTCTGCTTCCATCAGTCCCTGGATGAAGGTTCTAGGATGACATACAGGATAGTCATCAACCTTATCATCAAGGAGGGAGTATTAATGTAGTCTCTCCACTATTGCTTATTTTGCCAGTTGGTGTTATCCTTGGAGATCTCTGGAGATCTCACTAGTGTCAGTTCTCTCCTCAAGCCTATAATGACTTGATCTATTATGGTATCTCTCATCCTGAAAATCAGTTTTATCCAATGGGATAACACTGGCTATATCAACCACTCCAGGGCAGATCTCATGTTCAGGAGTAATTGACCAACATATAATGGATTCCACACAGTTATTTTGGTGTGCCTAATTATTTGGTTACAGTTTGTTCTCAGCCTCTTTTGAATTTTATTTTTTAGTATTTGGGAATTTTGTTGTATTGAGTTCTTGGGTTGTTTTTTGAGAAAGAATTTACATTTGGGTGGATAGGAAGGGAGGAGAGGATTTGAACAATTTTGGAGGAGGGAACGAATATGATCAAAATATATTTAAATTTAAAATTGTTTTAAATAATAAAATATATAAATAGGTCAGAATAATTTTTATTTAATTAAAACATAATTCATGACATTTTCTTTAATTATTATTGTTTTATATATATTGCGTGTACATAAATGGAGCATGTTGAGTATGTTTAGTGTTGCTTATATGTGTATGTTTTATATACATGTGTCTTGTGTGTATATGCTTACATTGGATAACTAACTAGAGGTCTCATCAGTGGGGAAAACTAATTCTTTTTCTTTCCCAGAAGTCATCTAGGAGTGGGGGGGGGCTTTGAGATTTCTCCAATGGATGTTAAAGTGTGAATTGGTGTTATTATTGTTCAGATCTTGTTTAGGCAGCCATGTTGTTGAGAGTTCATGGATGTTGCTATGTCATATCTAAAAGATAAAATCCTTCAGCAGACTCCTTGGCCTTGTATCTCTTACAATCTTCCATTCCCAATTTCTACAATGTTCCCTGAGCTTTAGGTATAGAGGTTGTGTTGTAAATGTATCACTTGGGGCACACCGTAGTCAATTCTCCGAATTTTGACCTGTTGTGGCTTTCTGTAATGGTCTCTGTTTCAAAGAGAAGCTTCTTTGGTGAGGGTTGAGAGCTGTACTTTCTGTATGGATAAGTGTATACATTTAGAATGTAGTTAGGAATTATACTTGTTTAGGAAATTGGCAATAGTGGGTTCTCTTCTATGGTCCATGGCCTCACTAGCCATGAGTAGTGGCCTAGGTCAATAGTACCAGACATGAATTCCCTTCTGTTGAATAGGCATTAAGTCCAATTATCCCTTATTGTTACTTGTGGTGGTTTGAATGAGCATGGCCCCCATAGGTTCATATATTTGAATGTTTGGTTCCCAGTTGGCGGACTGTTGGGAAGCTTTAGGAGTTACAGCTTTGTCGGAAGACGTGTGTCACTGGAAGTGGATTTTGAGGTTTCAAAACACACACCAAGCACTGCGTCTCTCTGCCTGCTCATCAGGATGTAAAGGTCTCAGGTACTTCTCCAGTGCCATGCCTGTCTATTTCCACTATGATGATCGCAGACTAACCCTTTGAACAGCAAGCAGGCCTCCAACTAAATCCTTTCTTTAATAATAGTTGCCTTAGTCGTGGTTTCTCTTCACAGCAATAACAGTAGCTAAGATACACCTTTAGGGATAGCTTGCTGTGGTCATTGTTGTTGTTCATAGGCATTACAGTTGTGTAGGAGTATTAATTGCAGTTTGCATAGTATCTCCTGGTACTGTGAAAGCTAGTCCTCAAGGAAGATGGTTTCAGATCAAATCCAGCTTGCATACTGAGTCCTGTGTCTGAAGTGCATGGCGTCTTCAGCAATAAGGACTTAAGTCAACTGCTGGGAAGTAAGCAAAGGCAACAGAAATAGCCTAAATTGTTCTTGGACATCTCTCGCCAAAAACTTGAAAGGAAGTTTCTTGTGTCTGGTATTTGGTTTTTTGTCACATAGTTTATGGCTCTTGGGGAGAACATTATCATCCCAAGTGGCATAACTTCATTTAAACTATGTATGTATACCCACATATTTATATATGTAATTTTAGCTAAACACAAATATTATCCTCTAGGGATAGTTTAGACATCCATAGTGTTACTTATCCCCTTCCCTTCAGTATTATCTCCCTCCGTCATCCCCAACGAAATCCCACCCCTATTTTGTCAATTTTCCTCCACATATCAACTGTTCCTTCATCCCACTCTCTAGAGCTCTTTCCCTCACCCACAATTCCTTTTTACTTTCATGGTTTATGTGGTTACTCCAGTTTATACAGTCACTAAAGATTTGGAGCTAGGAATCACAGGTCAGAGAGAAATCCAGTATTTATCTTTTGGGGGCTTGGTTGCCTTTACATGCAAAGTTCATGATTTCAATTTTTTTACAGCTGAATGGTATTGTATTGTGTATGTGTACCATATTTTCCGTATCTGTTAATTACTTGAAGGACATTTAGGCTATTTCCACTTTCTAGCTATTGTGAATAGGGCAGCTATGAACATGGCTGAATAAGTATCTATGGAGTAGGATGTTGAATCCTTTGGGCGTATGCCAAAAGAGTAAAATGGTTGAGTCATATGGTATATCTTCATTTAGTTTTTTGATGCTTCCCCCACAGGGATTTCAGAGTGCCTTGACTAGTTTTCTATCCCACCAACAGTTAATGGGGGTTCCTGTTTTCCATCCTTGTCAACATTTGTTGTCTGTTGTTTTGTTGATCTTTGCTATTCTGACTGGGATGAGATGCCCAATTCAATAGTCTACTATATGCAAAACAAAAGTCTTAATATGGATGACGGGGCTAAGCCTGCTATATCCTCCACAGCAGAACTGTTTATCCAACCTCCCCCCAAAGCCCAGAAATGTAGTTTTATAGGAATAGTCCGATATGTGGTCTTGAGTGTCATAAATGCATTGTCTCCAAATAAGGAATCATTTTTAGTATTTGGCAGCTGAAGGACTTATGACTTGAATCATTACTCTTATAGAACTTTATGTGGAATCCTGGTCTGCTACATCCTTAGTTGACTGTGCAGTAAATGTAATTAACATCAGGATTCCCAAGGTGAACCATGTATGTGACAGAAATTATTTTCTTTTTATAATATTGTGGGTGTATATACATGACATAGCACATGTGTGTGGTCAGAGGACAACATATGGGAGTCATGTGTGTTCTTGGAACTGAGTTCAGGTATCAGGTTTGGCAACAAGAACCTTAATCTGCTATACCATCTCAATGGCTCTAAACTATTTCCAGTGGTGCAACTAACCAATTTGGATCTGAAAAGGACCCTTCCAACCTCAAACTCTTTTGGAAGGGAGAGGAGCATTTACTGTTTGTGTTAAAAGAGCATTGCATTTTCAAATGTTTTCAAGATGTCTTCTACTTCTTTTTAGCAGCCTGGGGTATACTCCTTCATCCTAATATACCCCTGCACTAACTGATTTTACTGAGATCTGTTTGTATACTGCAGAGAACTGGCTTCTAGAGAAATTATAGTAGTAGGTATTTCCCTACAGAAATGTCCTGATTTGCAACTAGGTTTTACAACCAGTTTCAGGGGATCCTTTAGCACTATATCATCCTGAAGGACCATTCTTGATTTGTGTTTTGCTGCCTAGTTTTTCCTTCCACTGGTACCCACAGGTGGCCTATTGAGCTTGAAGGACCACCCCAATCTAATAACTCACATCAAGTCCCATTCAACTGCTCCCCTTATCCAATGAAAGAAATAATGAGATATAGGTATTGATGATATTTATCCATTTATTAAAATATTTTAAGAAGCAATTACTTTATTTTGAGGACTGGTGTTCCATTTTGTGAGGAGGACTAAAAGGAATAGGCACACTTTGTGGATCTTTTCCTTCTGCATTTTCTCCTGTTATTCCATAACTATTCCAGCTTCCTCCCCTGACCAAGTCCTGGCCCTGCTACTACTTTGCAGGGCCTCAGAAAACACAGAACACATAATAATAAACAACAAAGTATTACAGATTAGCAGACAAATGCAACTCCACAAACCATATAGCCAATCAAGGTCCCTTATTCAGTGGAAAGATGTGAATGGGGTCTGATTTCTTTGGTATTAGTTTCTGTCTGTTATACAATTAATTCTACTTTGTCCTACGGGAAGATGATGTTGACCTCCAATTGCTTCTTCTGGTCAACTTTTAGTACACTGAAAATATCCTCTTTTTTCTTTCCTTGCCCTTTTGGTGTAATAGAGGTCCTTAATGGATAGCTGTTGGCCTCCTATAGCATTGATGCCAGAAGTTGGTGGCAACTTAACTCTAGTCGGATATTTCCTTCCCTGGTGTACTTCTGGCCAAGAATTAGACAATCCATTCTACAGACAGTGTTACCAAAGATGCAATCAAACCCCAGAGCTTTGATTCTTAATGATTTCTGTACATAACTGTGGTGGATATTTGGTGTCTTGTTCCACCACCTGAGCAACTATGTTACTTCAAATAGTTAACAATGAAATCCTGAAAATGGCCCATGTTCCCAAGGGCTAAGGAAACTCCAGAGAAGGAGAGGGGGGGAGAGGGAGGGGGAGAAACAGAGGGATAGAGGGGGAGAAAGGGAGGGAGGGGAAGAGAGAGGGAGGAGGGGAGATGGAGGGAGGGAGGGAGGAAGAGACAGAAGGAGAGAGAACCATTCTTGCTTTGTTTCCAAGTAGATCTATGAACAAGTTCTTAGCATGCCAGCTTCCCTTCTCAGGGAAAAATCGGTAACTAAACAATTCAGATGGTATCTGGACCATTTTAACAAGCCACACTTGATCCTTAGCTTGTCAATTTTGCTCTAGTCCCCATCCTATATGTGTCATTCACTATCATTCTGACTCAGATGGGAGGACGGGGTGGGAAATGAGTGGGAATTCAGATGGTACAACAGAGCAACAGCAGCATTACAATACACAAAGACCTACAGTACTTCAGCAAAATAAGCAGAGATGGAGTCCTATTACAGTTGACTATCATTTGTGATAAAAATAATTACAAGTCATAGCCCTGCTTAGTCATTACCAAGGTAAGGCTACTGTTTCCCAGGATTTCCTTCTGTTTCCTTAAGTTGCTTATTTATAAATGATCCATTTTGGAAAAGACTCTTCTAGGAAAATTCAACATGGTTCCCAACTATGTGTGTGCATGTGTGCAGGCATTAGTTTATGCGGCCTAGGAGGAACAATGACCTTGGTGGTTTCATCTGATACCTCCTTCTCCGAAGAGTGATAAGAGAAAACCAGACAGTGCAACAACACACTCCATTTGAATACCTACACTGTCGGCACATGCACATTCTGATATGTAAGTTCTAAATGTCTTCTGTCATCTTTTCCCATTGGATTTCTTCTCTAGTTGTAGAGCTAGGACAGTTTTGTTTGGCACAGCTATCAGACATTGGGGGACTACCCCATTGTTAGTCTCTTTTCTCACCCGTGAAGAGGTGGGACACAGGCAGCTGGTTTGAGTGGGTTAGGCTGGTGGAGTTCTAGGAAGTTGAGAACCAGTGATCGGAGTCTAGATTGTGCACCTCAGTGAACCAGCCATTGGACTGAGTCAGATAGTTGAGCACGCTAAGTTTGGCTGAGCAGTGAGAAGGGGGCAGTTTTCTGGATTTTTTTCTTGAGAAGTGGGAAGGGACACTTTGAAAGAGGGATGACTTGAGGGTGGAGATGAGAGGCAGACCAGAGACAGTCTCTCTGCCCATTGGACTTTCATCAGTTTTAACTGGCCGAGATTGTACACTTAAAACAAAAAGATTCAAATGAATATTTGGAGCAATTTAGGACTATTATTTTTCATGAAAAACTTAGATGCAAAACAGAGGGAAGCTGAGGCTTCTAACCTCTACTTCCCCAGTTCAGTGTCCTTTCTGATCACCCTGACTGCCCCTCTTAGACTCAGGGGGAAGGGGGACAAGATATGAGATTTAAAGGTAATTTGAAGAGTGGCCCAACAGCCTATCCAATAGCTGCAGACCCAGATTAAGTTTATGGGGAAGGGCACAGGCTGTGATGGATTGGTAGGCCCTAACTTAGACATCTAAAGGGTAGAGCTCTTTGATATCTTTTTTACTGGGGAAGGGGGCAAGAAAGCTTAGGCAGTTGCTGATACAGAGCCAGGAGAAACAGAGCAAATGGCAGCATGCCAGCTTGGCCCCTCCTGCAGGGCATTGGTGGTTTTGTTCCCTTTCTGTGGCCTGGCTCAGTATTTTAAGTGGATGTCAGAATTAGCTGGGCTATAAGTAGACTCCAGCTACTTCTAAGACACTAAAAATGCACCAAAAGATTAGAAGCTCCACCAAGAACTAGGGCAGTTGGTAGAGTTGAATATGTGTGTGGTTTAATAGGGAAGGGGAGGGATTCCTGGGTTATCACAATAAATTAGAGGGTCACTTAGAGGTCGAGTTGTATTTTCAGTTCTTAAAAATATATATATGTATATATATGTACATCTTTATGTCTCTGTATATAATCTATACTGCAGCACAGCGGCAAAACATTTAGTTAAAAAATCCAGCGAGAATGCAGGCAAGCACTCCATGGAGACATGCAGGCTAGGATCAAGGCAAAAGGACAAGAGCCTGTATGGTTGCTATGAGGGGTGAGTTCCAAACAGTGGGCCCACCCAGCCACGAGAGCACCACCTGGACATGTGCAAAGACATACATGTACACATGGGAAATCATAAGGAGTTTATGGGGAGAGGGGAGGAAGCAGAAGTAGAGGAAGGGGAGAGAGAAGGGAAACAGGATAAGAAGGAAGATTAGCAAGGAAGAGGAGGAGAGAAAATGGGAGGGGAGGGGAGAGGAGAGACTCATATCTACAAGGAAAGATTCACATGATCATTGTAACAGACAAGCAGATAAGCCTCCAGGACCTAGTTCTCACCTTCTTGAGCCAACTAGGAGTCACATCTTTTGAAATTTCAAGTTGCAGTTGGCAGGGATTGCAAGAGAAACACAACCAAGCCTGAATGCCCTGCCCCCTCTTCATCTTTCTGAGAGCTAGTTACTCATTCATTCCTTGGTGTTAACAGTCTCTGCTAGTGAAAGAAGCCCAGTCTAATACTTCCTAAAGAGATGCACTCCCACAAATGCTTATAGATCCTGGCTAGTCATAATCTATCCCCAATAAACACTGTAGTTGCTCAATGTACACGAAGAGAAGGAGAACTGAACAAGACAACTCGGAACAAGAATCTTTGGCCAACGAGAAAAATGTAACCCTCTAAGGAGATCTGATTAAGTCTAGGGAAAATATATTAGTATAAGGATTTGGAGGGTCTTTCTTGGTGGTGCTCATGTTTGTTCTGATATAATTGAATTCAGTCTTTATTGAGGTTCTGAGAGTTTTTAGTAGAATTCTGTGTTGAGAGTTCTCCTTCCAGTTTTCAAGAACTACAGCTGAGAACTTGAAGGTGTTGGAGGGTCATCACTTTTTGCTGCATTGCCACGATTTCTGCGACGCCAGAACCTGCCTTCAGAGCCAAAGAAAGAAAGGTAGAAAAACAGCGAAGTTAGTACTTTGCCAGATGCTTAAGTGTGTGAGCCCCAGACAGATTAGTTTGCTCCTAGTGTAGCTACCATCTCTGACTCAAAGCCACTGGAGACCATACAAACTGAATGCAAATAGGATTAATTCTTAGAACCCAATTATCTATGCAACTACTGTGGACTCAATCTGAGTCAACAAAAATCCTTTCAAACACCAGAGATTTCCAAATGTCAGCTCCTTACGGAATCAAACCAGTTGGACCACACCCAAGAAAAATATAGTTATATCCAAAAGCTTTTCTCTTGGCATCTGAAAAATCCTTATCCATTAAAACTAAAACAAACTGTCATCCTCTCACCATGTTTTCATAAGTCTGCTAATGCTGTATCTTTGAAGCATCCATGTTACCTAAGCCTCAAGTTTAGGAGAGACAATGCACATCAGAATTGGTACAACTGAAAATTCTAGTAGAGTTTTCTTTTGAGTCCCATTCACATTTCTTTTCACAATACTTTCCCATTTACAATACTTCAGACAAGTTATAAGGAAGAATGGTATAAAAACAAAATTTATATAGTATGAGTTTTGCATATCCAGGGACTCTCTCAAGAGGTAGAAGGGATTTTTGACGGGGCAATAAACCTGTCCCCATCATCTTAGGACTGGGTCAAGCAGTAAGATACCTGTCTGATAGCAGTTTTCCTTTTGGTCATCCAGCCCACTCAGCACCATTCCTTCTCAGGATCGCCCTTTACCAGTCAGTATTCTATCATTCTCTAATTCATTTGGCATTACCTAATATTGGCTTCCTCCCAAAGTCTCCCTTTCCAGCACACCCATGAACATTTCTGAGGGTGCGTTCAGGTCTCTTAGAGGTGCTCAAGCTGTTATTCATGTTCTCTATGCCTGTGGAATTGACTTACCAAGAAAACCAGGGAATCGACGTCTTGATTTAGGCTTTCCTCCATCTTCTCGTTTCTTCTTCCTAAACTTGGGGAATTTAACTTTCAGCCTGCGACTTAGACTGCTAGTGTCAGAAGAGTGCTCCTGGGAAACCATAGCAAGAGTAAGGTCGAAATGTTAGTTGACATTCTGAAAGGGTTTCTAAGGGCTCTTTAAAGTAATGGACAAGGATGGCTACAGAAAGCCAGGGAGGAGAGTCATCCCTATTCACTAGTCATATATCTTAATAAAGGCAATGAGCCTCAGAAAGATCCCATTCTGTGCCATGTGCCTCTCCGGATACATCAGTAAATACTCCTTACACAAGCCTCAAAATTACCTGGGAAAATAGCTACGATTATTCCTGCATTAGAAATGAAGCAAAGGCTCTGAGTTAGGAGAAGGCTGTGCAAGTAGGGGTAGGAGAAGAGGAAGTGGAAACAATGTTGTGCATTCTTTTACCCTTGGTAAAAAAAAAACACAGAAAAGCAAAGGCAAGGCTCAGTGGTTAAGCATTTCATGTGAGGTCACGTGGATTGTGGAGGTCACTGTTGCTCACATGGCAGTTTTTTACAAATTGGAAAAATTTATTCCATCTTTCACACCTCCAGGTGAGAGCCCCTATTTGCCCCCTCAGCCAAGTATCCTCATATAGGGAAGAGTGTGCCTTACAGGTTACCCATTTTCTGTCTGTAACACAGAGGATTTTCTAAACAAACTTACTAATTTTGGATGTAAGTCTCTGCTGTGCAGACAGCTCTGTGATTCTAGTTCATTCTCCAACTCATATCTTGCTTCTGTCAGAGCATTCTTATCTTACTCCCGTTCCTAGCAAAACGATCCTGAGGTTGATTTGTTGACATGAAATCTAGCCAAACTCATTACAAGAGGTCTGTGGGTAATCTTCCTTTCAGGATTAGTTATGCCTTCAGTCCCTTCCATCAGGGGAAGGGTCGGAACCTATCTTCCCCCTTTCTCCCATCGTACCCTTTCTTCTCTAGTGCTGCTCCTGGCTGGATACCCTGCCTTCTGACCTGCCTTTTATAAACAACTTCAAGAAACAGCACAGGACCTCAGTTAGAGCCTTGAAAAGCCCAATAAATAATTGACCTTGGTCCTGCTCTCCCCCAGAAAAGTGGGTCTGATCTTCCATAATCAAGTTAAGGATGTTTAGCGTGAGCAATAGCTCCTTATCCTATTTTTCAATCTATTCATTTTCTTCAGGGCTTTACTTCTCTGGAAATAGTGGCACTCACAAAAGAGATTTTTGTTCCAGGTGAGGAAGACTCGCATGTAAATCGGGACCCCAGGGTATAGGTTGAATTTGTCTCATTTCTTTCAATATCCAGCTAGTTTGCTCAGCTCAGGAGTTTAACAGGAGATTGCTGAGGCAGGTAATGGAATGAGAATTTGCTTTGCTTATTGTCTGAACGATGTACATCTTTCTTCCCCAGAGGGCTACTGATAAAAACATGAAGGTCTTGTAATGTAATGTAATGGCCAAAGATTGTTAAACCTTTTAAGATAACGAGTGGTTCTCAAACTTCCTAATGCTGACGCCCTTTAATACAGTTCCTCATGTTGTGCTGGCCTCCAACCATAAAATTACTTCGGTACTATTTCATAACTGTAATTTTGCTACTGTTACTAATCATAATGTGAATATCTGTGTTTTCCAATGGTCTTTGGTGTCTTGACCCTCAGGTTGAGAACCACTGTTTTAAGATGAATTTGCATATGGTTTTCCTTCTGAAATGGTAACCTTGCCTCTGCACCATTCCAAACATATCTATGTAACTGCTCACATGCACATAACTGGCATTTGGAGTCAGAAAATAGCTATGAGGAGGCAGGCATGGATTCTAAAATTTGAAATGAATGTTTTTATGGTGGAAAGTTTTTGAGACAATCTCTGTCAGATCACAAAGGGACTACTTTACTTTGTTATAGGTAACCATCTTTGGGACACTTGGTTTATGAGTAAATATGAAAGTTTCCAATCTTAGGAAAGTACTCAATGTAGTCCAAAATTGACAGCATCTCTGCAACTATATTCTATCTATAACAATGTTTGATTTTCCTTTTATGCCACATATTGGCTGTGAGAGACAATTACAGGGTAGCATCAGGAAGAGGAGTTGTTTAGAAGATTGAACTGCCAAGACAGCCTAGGTATCAACCATTTACAACAGCTGTCTGCCAACAATCAGTGTGGCTATGCTAGTATGTAGCAGATATGGTTTAGTTCTGGCAGCAGAGCTAGTAACCTAGAGCGTGATCTTCCTTATTCTTTCTTGCTTTAGAATGGTCTTCTTTCTGATTATTTTTCCATGGTCATCTACTTGCGCATTTTTGCTGATTTGTTCTGTCCATTTAGGGTGAGGAGGATGCTGCATTAATGCTAAAGGTTGCATTGGGTCCCTATTACACCCATCCCATGTACAGACCCATACTATCAGACCTTACAACAAGGGAAGAATCCCACTCTCCATGTTACTCACCTCTGGAAGAAGGATTCGACTCAACCAGCCAATTTCCAGAACCCTTCTCAATTCCGTATTCATGGCATCCAGGTCAGTTTGTAGTATGGCCTTATCACTAGCATCTCTCAACTGACATAGACAGGGAGAACAGTCAGTGTACATTCCTAGAACTTTGTCTTAGACTCCACTGTGACCGAGTTCATGCTAGTGACCAACAGATAACATACTGTAGCTCATTTTGACCAAGAGACTATAAGGGTGACAAACTGTAGCTCATTTGGCCTACAATCAGATTGTTAACTTCTCAAAAGTAAAACTAGCTTTAGACAGCTCTCTTTTCAATAAAAAGATCCAGAAAACAGTCAGATGTTTGAGGTCTCTTTGCATCTGGGCATGCTCAGTTTCACAAGTGAAGGTCTTTTCTCCAGCATGAATTAGTACCATACTTTCTGCTTTAGCTTAATGTCTAGAAAAAGGGACCCACTCTTGACTTGCAGTTTCTGAAGTCACATCAGCATCCTCCTAAGTAAGAGCTATCACTAAGTTCTGAGCACACTGTGTATATCAGGTACTGTGAATACATAATTTCACTTACTGCCCCCAATAGCCTCACAACACTGTACAAGGTCTGATTATTCTCATTTCATAGGTGAGAAAGCATAATCAAATAAATTTAGTGTTCAAGATTACATGGCTAATGTCTGGTGGCTATCTCTGGGAGGTCTGCCATTTTCTGAACGGAAACTGAGGAGTGGATGGGGAAGGAACTAGGAGGAGAGGAGTAAGGGGAATCTATGATCAATACACAATATTTGAGAGAATACATTTATTTTTAAAAATTACAGGACTAAACAGAGTCTGTCTAACTTAGTAGCATCCCTTTTATACAATACAGTTCTACAAAGGGTGTATAAATTATCAAGATGGGAATCGTTATTATACATTATAATTTAAAAGATAGTTTGTAGATCAAGCTGAGAATGTTAGGGAAAGACTGCCTTAACTTTACCTTCCTGGTAGAGGGTCTGCTGTAGTTTCTATCTATTTGTTCTCCATGATTAAGAAACATGTTTGCAGATGGCTTGTCCTGTCTAAGTAGTTACTGCTGACCTCCCAGCACACACAAGATAATCTCTGTGTGATATATGGGAGAATTATAATAGATTCTTTTGAGGCCATCTCCAAGTTCCAAATCAGCAGCACAGGGAGACCATTCATATTCTAACAGATATAATAATTTGGGTGCATGGAAATACATTGATGCATGTAGCCTTCAAGGGCTGGAAGGCGCACAACAATCTAACTCTTGAGTCCAGGTTAGATTGCTATGTGTTCAACTCTACCACGCATTCTCCTTTCAGTGTAGCATGTCCATGGTCTCTTTCTATTTACAGGACACTTACAGCTGTAGCAATAGCTAGTGCCAGAAATGTGTGGCCACTGAATGGGCAGGGAATGGGATGGGAGGTTATGGTCAGTCAGAACATGACATAAGAAGGAAACAAATCAGCACTAGCAAATAATTTGTCCTTATTTACAGCTTAAGATAGTACAGCATGGCTTAGATGCATGTGCCAAATAAGGCGAGTCGGAATGAGTGAATAGAATTCGCTTCATTTTTTTACAAAGCTAAATCCCTGTTACAGTTTACCTAGAATGTCCTCCCAAGGCCCAGACTGGTGTTATTGGGAGGTAGTGGACCGTTTAAGAGGTTTAGCCCAGTCAGAAGGTGAGCAACTTTAATCTACTACATGATTTTCACCATCATGTGCTGTCTTGCCATATGCTGAAAGCAAATCATTCATGGGCCGAGCCCTGCAAAGCTGTGAGCCACAGCAGAGCTTTTTCTTTGTAAGTTAGATTGTCTTGGGTATTCATTAGAGCAATGGAAACCCAATACAGCCTCCCCTGACAAAGCTACTCTTTTTGCTTTTACTGCCATACTTTCTCAGTGAGAGAAACATGACATAGCCATCTCATTTCTGTGACAGCCTTTCTGGAGATGCATGGTCATTCTTATGTGTGTTGTGCCTACTAGCCTCATTTGATGTGTATACATGTGTGGAGTCTCACAGGTCCTATGGGAAGGAAGCCTCCCTTCATGGTAGGGTATGTTCAACTTGTGTTGTTGGCTAGCATGGCCCAATTTTCAAGCTATGAGGATCAAGAAAGCCTAAGAGGCAACAAGAGGCCAACTTTCGATATTTACTGATGGCTGAACTGAGATGACATTGAGTTCAGAATTCCAATTGAAATTGTCCAAAACTGAAACATGCTTGGCTTGGGGCCCAGATGATGGGTGGAATGGTGTGGTCTGAGTGCTTTAGCCATTCCGCTTCTGAGGCAGTGTGGCAATTAGATATGTAAATGAAGAGGCAGTGGGTATTCTTGCAACTTTATCTCACAAGCCCCTCTTCAAATTAAACTTTAATTAGATCAAAAGCAAGCACAACACCTGCCTTGGGGACAGCATCAAAGCTAGATTATTATAAGCAGTTGTGCCCACGCATGGACATTACATTATGAGAAGCATGCAACTAGTGTAGTCCTCAAAGTCATAGTTCACCCTCCCTAGTACTTTTAAAACCCATATTTTGAGCCACAATTATGCATTTATACAAATCCTCTAAGCAAACTGTAGAGGAGGGGATACAATTCCTATCTTGGAGAGAGGAGAAATAATTGCAAAAAGGTGCAGTTACACAATTAGTGTTGTGAGTTGTGTTCCTCTCAAAAGAGATGTTAAGTCCTAACCCCCAGTACTTTAGAATGTACCCTTATGTGAAATTATAGTCATTACATTGTAATTCACTGTTAATTTGAGACCATACTAGATAGGGCAGGTTTTAATCCATTACTATCAATGGCTCTCACAGAATATGGCCATATGAAGACAGAGACATTGAAGATGAAAAACAAGATGAGAGTGATTCATTTACAAGATAACGATCAACAAAGATTGCCAGAAAAAAATGATCAGAAGCTTGGAAAAGGCAAAACAAGTTTCCCCTAGCATTTTTAGAGGGACCATGAACCTGCTGATAATTTGGATTTAAATGTTGGAGTTTCCAGAATGATGATAAGGTAAGATTCTGTTAAATATTTGGTACTTAGTCATGGCAGCCTTAGGGAGATAATACGGATGGTAGGTAGCTAATTTGTATCTGAGCTCAGAGCCCTCAAAACTTCCCCCTATTTCCTGTTACTTTCTCCATGGAGAAAGTGACATTTACAAACTTGAAAGAGTAGCCTCTTTGAGGAGCTCACTCTTTTCACGTGTGGCTGTATCAAGTATAATGAGAACACTTGGCATCTGGTTGGCCTAGTCTTGACCCAGGAGTCACTGACCAAAGAGAGACTTTCATCCAAAATACAGCAGTCCCTGTAGACTGGCATAACACATACAGTAATACATTCAGGTGACAAACACTAGATGATAGCAATCGTAACTGGAATCATCAGACAATGATCACACATCTCTAGTACTCTGGAACCAAATACAGAATGTGGCCATATCAAAAGCGATATTTTCCCTCCCCTGCTCCAACCCCCCTGCACTCACCAAGTTTTCATCCAGGAAAGCTTTGGTGTCATCGTAGAGCCCTTTAAGACTAAATGTAACATCTACTGCATCATTTCTGCTTAAAGTCTGAGAGGAGAAGAAAGGAGAAGAGTGGAAGGGAAAGGACAAGATAGAGGAGCTGGTTAGTAAGCATGCAGCTGGCTTCTCCACGGGAAGGTAGGGAAGAGACTAGCAGGACGTCGCTGTAGGTGGGGAAGTAATATTAAAAATACAGCACAGCTGGCACAGCATGAGCACCAACCAATTGACACCGGCTGTCAATGGTTAACGGGCAACAATAGAGCTCTATTGGTGTGCCCTGCAAAGAAGCACAATACAGCTTAGCTTTTGGCATCATTGATTGGGTACAGTAGGGAACAGGAAAATAGGAGATTTGCAAACCAGAGGGAAATTTGCAAATCATACTTGTCGCTAGGTTAAAACTACCTTTCCCATGATATGTAGAAATAAGTCTAACCATACATATCTCTTCTTGAAACTCATGACCTTTGGACCTCCTTCAACTAGGACCTGGCCTAAAATAAAATTAACTCACATTTTTAACACATCCTGAGCCTACTGTATTTATACCTATTAATGAAATTCACGTTCCTCTCCCTCCATCTCCCTCATCTCCCTCTCCCTCCCTCCCTCTTTATCCCTTCCTCTTCTCCCTCCCTATCCTATGTGTGCATGCATGGGTGCATATGTACATGTGTGTGCACCCTTGTGTCAATGTGTGCTTATATACATTTATGTATGAAAGGGATCCTATCCAAGGCTATTCTCTGTCACTAAGCTACATCTCCAAATCTAAAGTTACATTTTAAAAGCAACACTCAAATCTAATGGCAGTGAGTATCGGCATGGGATGGAACATTTAATGTTAAATGTCCGATCTGGACCTGTCAAGAGGGAAATAAAAGCATCTTGGACCTTTGGCTTCAATGACAGGTGTAACCCCATACGATTATACAAGGCGTCCACTGAATGAGGGAGGTCAAAGACTATGTTTCTTTCCCTTCATTAACTGTTTCACTCTGAGGCTAATGTGGTGGCTAATTACCAGGAACAAACACTGTCTCTCAGGATGATGAATTTTGTCAAGGCATTTCCCCAGTAGCCACCTTGGCCTTGTACAATCTAAGAAATGCCTGCATTCCTATCCATTCTATTTTACTTTATTTTTCAATTTTTGTGTGGTTATATGTTTGTAAATATTCACATGTGCATATGCATGTGTATAGGGGTGTGTGTGTGTGTGTGTGTGTGTGTGTGTGTGCATGTGTGTGTGTTCCTGTAAAGGCCAGAGATGAGTGCAAGGTGTCTTTCTTAATTGCTGTCCACCTTACATTTTTGAGACAGGGTCTGTCATTGGACCTGGAAATCACTGATTAGGCTAGACTGGTTGACTAGAGAGCCTCTGAGATCCCTCCGTGTCTGCCTTCAGACATTAGGATGTAGATGCATATTGCCATGCCTGACTGTTAATGCAGACTACTGGGGTATAAATTCAGTTAGTTATTCATGCTTGCACGGCAAACACTTTACCTAGGAATCCATGACCCCAACCACTATCTATTCTACCCATCAGATTTCTACCTTTTATCACTTGCATATGTTTCTCATGTAAGTTTTGTTTCAACCCCCTTTCAAGTTTGGTTCCTTAATTTCATTTGCTTATTTCTCTCCTTACCTCAATGGGAGTACAGGAAGCTGCACCCGCCTCATTGCCACTGTCTTGGCTATAGAACACATCATTCAGTATGTTAGCACTGGCATTCACAGAATCCATGAGGACAGACACATGCTGGTGGACCTTCATCAGGTCATTAAGTCTGTAATAAAGCAAAGCCAGATGAGTTTGTTGCTATGGATTTATGGTGTGAGGAGCTGGTAGATTAGGATAAGAAGTGAAACGAAAAGCCTGGGTACTGGATTTGAACTCTTTATTCCCTCTTGCTATTTCTGTTCTTCACTAGGTATCCAGTGAAGAAAATTCTAGGAAATGTTTCTAGTCTCCTCTAAGTATTCACCTTTGTTCATGTTTGTTAAACTTTGATTTAGATACTGAAAGACTGAATAAAGAAACTAAAATAGAGGAGCATGGCTGACTGTTGCTGAATCTGCGAGGTCTTTCTACTAGTTAAGAGCAAGCGAAACCAATTTAATTCATTCATTAATTTTTGTGTATTTTCATGTACATGCCAGTGTGTGTGTGTGTGCACACGTGTGGGTCAGAGGACAAGTTGCAGGGAGTTGGTTTTCTCCTTCTACCATGTGGGGCCCTAAGGATCAAACTTAGATGGCCAGTCTTAATGACAAGCACCTTCATGAACCATTTTGCTGTCCCAGAATAAACATTCTTATTCCTACTGGGTCTTGAAAGCAGAGGGAAATAAAAATTCACCTCTGGTTCTAATGGGGAGTGCGAACACTGGCTTATTGTTAAACACAAAGAATCCTTCTTGTGTGGACTGTCAGAGCCCTAATTTTAAAGACTTAGTGAGATTCCTTTCTGAAGCTAAGCTCCTCAGGAGTCAACAGACATCACTGACTATCTCTCCCTATCCATTTTTGGGTTTCCTAGTCCTGCTGATGCCAAGTCAGTCCTCTTACCTGCTAATGAGGTTTTCTGCAAGCCGAGCCAAGTGCTGCATCTGGGCATACTCCCCATCAGAGAGGCTATCTTGAAATTCCTGGACGTCCAGACGGGGTGGTGGGACAGCTTGGATTTCAGTATGCTTAGATTCCCATGTTTTCATTGAGTTCTCAAAGTCCTAGAGATGAAGACAGTGGCAAATTGTAATGATTGGAGTAGCTATGAGGACATGTGGCAGATTTGTCTGAGTATGGCATTTTGTAGGTAATATGGGATATAGGTAGGAAAGGGGAGTGAATACATCCCTATACATTCCCTTATGTCCCTATTTCTATATCTTCCTGTCTTTTAGTCAATGTATCTTCTGTATAAGGTAGTTTAGTTTTTATTATTAGTACACTGGCTCGTGAGACATGAGGCATGGTGATGGATAAGACAGAGGAATATCTTTTGTGCTCCATTCTTTTTCAGATGTATATATTATGTTGTGATGGGATTTAGAGTCAGACATACAAAATTTACTTTTCAATCAGGCTTTTCAATAATGGCATCTTTGCCATCACTGTAGCCTTTTATTTAACATAAATGGGTGACATCTGTAAATGAAATATGTTAAGGAATCTTATGGAGCCCAAAGAGAATATATTCAATGCAAGAACTGTTGTTGGAAAAGTATATTTCTCCACCACCAAAGGTCTTTATTTTTCTGTGCAGTGTAGGGTGAAGGACAACCCTGTTGAAAGAGAAACAGTGTCTTGCAACTGTGTTTTTATGTATTAAAAATGTCTTGAGGCGCTTGTTTACAAATGCAAGCTCTTAGCACCACCCCTTTCCATTCAGTTCAGCGAGTTTGATGTGAGACCTAGGGGTATTTATTTGAACCGTCATTCAAGGTGCCTGATGCAAGCGGCATGCAGAGCTCCCTTTTGGGAATTCTTCTCGATTAGAAATATGATAGCTACAAATAAGGCAACGTAGCAGCTCAAGTAGAACTTTTTTCTTACCAGATCTCTCATCAACACCTGGGCAGTATTCTTGTATTTAATCTTGATAAGGCCTGGTTTCTGAATCCAAGCTTCACCATCCACCTGCACAGGGACACCTTCTTCACCATCAATAGTTATCATCACCTCATGGCACTATTAGAAAATGAGAGAAAGAGAGAGAGAGAAAAAGGAAAACATGAGGAAAGTACTGTGGGTTAATCTGGCATTGGCTCACAGTGTAAATGTGTATTTGAAGAGGCCCTGGCAGAAGATATGTATCAGATTATCCCAGGGAGACAGAGCATGTATTACCTGTGAGCTTTTTGGTTTTAACATCAGTCACCACCTTACTGCCTAACAGACTGCCTACTTCCACTACCCAGGAACTCCTACGATCAGGTAATTGCCAGGGCTACCTCACATCATTGAATTGAATCTAGAACTCTTATCCCATCTTTGTATTCTTCCAACCCTTACTTACCTGGGCAATTCGATGATGATGCAGGTTGATGAGACGAGACATGGCCATCTGCACAGAACCAAAGATCGCCACTACCTCTAGCTTCCCATCATCCATTGCAGGGGCATCATATTCCTAGGAATGAAGAATCATGTCACAATTCTCCCAAGAATCCATATTTTGTCTATAATAAATAAACGTGTCTTGACGACTACTGGTAACATTATTCTAGCACATGAAGAAGTGAGAAAACTATGCTAAATTAGGTAAGTTAGTCAAGCCTGTAAAAGGGAATCGTGCTGGCATTTACATGTGAGCTCCTTTGGAGATCACAAATCAGACACTTTCTTCCCTGTCCAGTATAGCACCACAAACCCCAAAGCCTTCTTGGACTTCTTAGATAAACTCAGAGCAAAGAGCTCATGGCTTTTTTCCCCAGGAGATGTTTTTACTGACATACTATCTTGGGATAAAAACATGGCCTTCTGGGTAATCTTTTGAGTGTCTTCCAGGCCTCAGTAATGGAAGTCAAAATCCAGCTATCACATAACATAATTCTGAGGTTCTTGTTTGATTCTTGTGCTCTAGAATGGCAACTGATTTCAAAAGTTGAACCTACAGATACTGCTAAGGAGGATTCAAGCCTACCTCATCTTTCCCCCACTGTCTACTTTCCATTGTAGCCAGCCCAGCAATGCTTTCTGGGATAATTTAGGAGAGCCATGCCTCTTTCCCTCCCCATTCCTCAGTCCACACTCACGGCGGTGGCTGTGTTGCTTCCCCAGAAGTTGACACCTCCAGCATAGCTGGTAATGTTGAGCACTACAACGCCTTGAAGGTTTGGCAAGGAGACGACTTCTCCATCACACTGAAAGAAAAGAGTAGCTCTTATTGCCAGGCTTTTCACATACCAGCACAAGGATCTGTTACCGAGACAAGGAGGGGCTTGGTCTTCTCTTCACACTATCATTTTCTTATATATGAAATAGAAATAAAGCTTCATGCCTTGTCCGCATGGCTGTGAGCAAGGCTCCTAGAGTTAAATTTGAGAAGAACCAAAGATATAGTGGAAAGGTGATTTCTGAGGGCACAAGATTTCCTTTCACCATGCCCGGGAAACGTCCTTTTCTACGAACCTCCAGGTGTATCCGCTCTTCCAGTTTCCTATAAGAGCGCTGCAGCAGTTCCTTGCTTCCAAGAAGACCATACCATATTTTGTTCTTAAGGCGGCTACTACAGAAAGAGAGGTAGAAAAAGATAGTCAGAAGGAGAATGATATGGTGGTTAAGTGGGTAGGGAAAGACAGGAAGGGGAAAACATCTTATTTTTCAAGTTTTTTTGTTTTAAATCTTATTCTTTAAATTTGCTTTTAATATTGTATTTGCCGGGTGGTGGTGGTGCACGCCTTTAATCCCAGCACTCGGGAGGCAGAGGCAGGCGGATCTCTGTGAGTTGGAGGCTGGGCTGGACCAGCAGCCTCCAAAACAATACAGAGAAACCCTGTCTCGTAAATACCAAAAAAATTTGCTTTTAATATTGTATTTTAAATTTATTCTTTGAGAAATTTCAATTGTATTCATCCTTTATTCACCTGCCCAACCTATTCTTCTGGGATGCACTTCAATTTTCTTATCCTCCCTGGTAGGTGGCCCATGTCCCATTATTGGGACTCAGAGGGTTATTAGAAATTATCCAGGCTTAGTAGCACACACCTTTAATTGCAGCACTTGGGAGGCAGAGGCAGGTGGATCTCTGTGAGTTTGAGGCCAGCCTGGCCTACAAACAAGAGTTCCAGGACAGCCAGAGCTGTTACATAGAGAAACCTTGTCTTGAAAAACAAACACAAGCAAATGAAAAAATGTATATTTTTATTTTCAATGACGCTATCTTAACATCTAGTTTTGGTCACTGTGTTTCTTCATAGCAATAGAAGAGTAACTAAAGATGCAAAAGGATGAATATGGAGCATTAGCTTCCACCACACACAGCAAAAAGTACCCCAATCATTCAAAGCGCATTACAGACTTAAATATAAGAACCAAAAGCAATAAATTTTTGGAAGAAAACAACATTTTCAGAGCTTGAGTTAGATTAGTATGATACCAGAGACATAGTCCATAAAGAGAAATAAATAACTAGACCTTGTAAATTCAAAAATGTTATACTGAAAAACATGCCTCTAAGAAAATGAAACGACACTAATAAACTGAGAGAAACTTTATGAATCACATATCTGGTAACATACTTTGCCCTCGTCCCAGGTCTTTTCTGAGAGAGAGACTCTAGTGGCAGTAGCAGAGGTGGGGTAGCCCTCCTAAAAATATTGATCTGTTTGCCTATCTATCTATCTGTCTGTCTGTCTGTCTGTCTGTCTGTCTGTCTGTCTGTCTATCTATCTACCTACCTATCTATATGAGGGGTGGAGACAGGATTTCTCTGTAGCTTTGGAGTCTGTCCTGGAACTATATAGACCAGGCTGGCCTTGAACTCACAGAGGTTGGCCTCTACTTCCTGAGTTCTGGAATTAAAGGCATGCGCTACCACCTTCCGGCTTATTTATTTTACATCCGGACCAGACCAGTTTCCCCTCCCTCCTCTCTTCCCAGCACCCCCCCAAACACACCCCAGCAACCTTTCCTCCTCTGTTGCCATTTAGAAAATGGCAGGTCTCCCATGGATATCAGCCAGCTATGGTATATCAAGTTGCAGTGAGACTAGGCACTTCTCCTTGTATTAAGGCTCAGCAAGGCAACCTAGTATGAGGAGTAGGGTTCCAAAAGCCAGTAAAAGACTCAGAGACAGCCCCTGTTCCCACTGCTAGGAGTCCCACATAAAGGCCAAGCTATATAAATGTCACATATATGCAGAGGGCCTAGGTCAGTCCCATGCAGGCTCAGGGTGGCTCCTTTAACTTATACTTTTAATTCATAAGAACTCTGAAGCTGTCTTAAGGTATATATCTGTAGGATAAAACTACCAGAAGATACCAGGTGGGCCAATACTAATCAATGAGACCAGATGACCCAATCTGGACCACCAAGAAACAACAGAAGTAGCTTGCATACTTTGTAGCACTGTCAAGCAAAAACAGATTTGGAGCACCTACTAGGACCAGTTAATCTCTTAGAAACAACCCGAAGTTCAAAGCAATCTGTTCTCAATAGCAGTAACAGACATAGCTCTATTTATACAGAAATACACATGGGTAGACTATGGAATGGAAGTACAAATGTATGATGGCAGGCTGATTATCATAGAGCAGCCCAACTTTCAGGATACACTGTCCCTACTAGGCTAGTCTTGAGACCAATGCATTTTATTTCCCAAGGACCTTGGTCTTTCCATTGCTTGTCTGATGTAGGAATACATATGTGTATCATGATTATATGTATTTATATAGAGAGCTGAGCCTCTTCCTCTTACTTGTATTGTGCTGGGTGTTCTTCTCTTCTGGTATTGAACTCCAGAGAAATTTTTGCATCTAGTCCAATTCCAAAGTAGTTGTTCATGACACACTTTTCTTTGAAGCGCCTGAAATTAGACAGGGAAGAATGCAGAAACAAAAGCAGGAAAGAAATACTAGTGTCACGGTATCAGACTTCATTTGCTTGATGAAAAATCACCAAGGGAAGGCCTTGTCCACTGGTACAAGCCATATGGTTCATGAAAGGTATTTATAGATTGTTTTTGTACCCAAGAGTAACTTGTTAGTTCTAACAGAAAATGTCCAGTCAGTCTGGAAGCTTTAGAGAGATTGCGGCTCATATTAAAGAAGCCAAATTTGTAACCTTAGTTATATTTGTAGACCTCAGATATGCATCATGTTTCTACAAGTAGAATGAAACAGTCATAGGCTATTCCCATAAGTAATTTTGAGTATGTTAGTTGCCAATATATTTTGATTACTTGAGTATATATTACTATTCTCAGTGATGTCTGACTCCTTCCTGGCACTTTCACACCAGAAAACAAAGGTGTACACATTTCACATTTGAGAGGAAAGTCTGGTAAAAGAGGGTACAACAACAACAACAACGAAACAAAGTTTTTAGTTTCCTGTATTCATCTAGGGTATCAACACTAATGCTAGAGTATTCTAGAACTAGTTCACACTAGCCCATGTAAACTGTGCACACTCATTCCCGATTTTGCACTCAAAGACATAGGGAGATTTAAATTAGTCTCTAAACTTACATGTTTTACCTCCCTTGACCACAGTGAGAAACTGAAGTTTCTCTAATAGCCCATCACCCAAGTGATCTAAATGAACTCAAGATAACTTAGTGTGGTATGTTTTGCTGCTGGGTTATGTTAGAGAAGTAAGACTACTGGAGTAAGTGTACTTGGATTTCCTATCCAGTCCCTTACATGACCATTTATTTATTTGTTCATTTGCGTGGGGGTGTGTGTCTTCAACCATTTACAATTAAAAGCAATACTGAGAAAATAAGTTCTGTGACATAATAACTAACATTTATTATGTGTTTACGGTAGCAGCTGCTGATGCACACAGCACGTAACTATGAGTATCAATATACAAATCAGTGCAAGTACGTTGCATGTCTAAACTCAACAACTAGAAAAAGCTTATATGCAAAGTCCAGTAATTATCTTCACTCCATTTGAAAAACCCAGGGATTACAGTGGTTAAGCAACTGGGTAGATCACACAATTAGTTCAGTTGAATCAGAATTCGGCTCTGGATATGGTGAGACTGTGCTACCAAGCAGAGAGACAGAAAGCCATTAAAAGGTCACACTCTTGCATACTTACATCGTTTCCGGTGTATGATGTAAGTGTTCTAAGTTAAGGTTATGGAGGTCTTCACTTGTGAGAGACGGTATAGAAGATAAGATGTCACAATAAGAACCTAAACAGGAAAAACATCACCTTGGAGAGAGATGCAAACCAAAGGCCCTTCTCCCCACTTGTAATTAGCCCTACTTTCCCATGTGAGTTAGGGTCAAGATCAATGGCTTTTGTCTAAATAAACATTAGGGTTCTCATGCCACAAAGGCCCCCTTAGATCCTTTTCCATGGGGAGGGACTTTCACTGAGAAGACGGTAAAGCTGAGGTGCTTGCTGACCGGCAGTGAAAATAAATTCAAATCATGGCTCTCATCAGAGTGGTATTTTCCAAGTGTCTAACCCAGTCATTGCTTTGGACACTGGTATGACATAGTGTGGCGTATCTGGGAAGGAGTGAGGACTTTCCAGTACAGAGTGGGGTCACGTCTAAAGGCAGATGCATGAAAACATAGATATTCCCTGGAAACTAGGTGGCAGTGACGAAGGCTAGACTGGGACAACAGCAATCCTTACGGTGTCTTGGGCTCATCTGATTGAAGTCCTCTGAGTCATCATCTCCCAGGAAGAAAGCTGATGAGAAGTTCTTGACTGGTAAGGACTGTCTGCTTTCTTCATCCAGAACTACAGTGAAAAGGTGGGAGGAAGAAAGGAAGTAGAGAAGGATATGGGTCACATTTATGGAACAGTTTCTGAGCATTGATATATAGGTAGACAGTGAGACCCCTCTCCCGTTTTCCTTCATGACGCCTCTTTGGCTCCCACCCTCTTTATAGTGTCATTCTGTTTTCTTTGTTTTTCTTTTTCTTTTTTGCACACAGCACACACAGTTGTGAGAAAATGCCTGGGAGGGGTAATAGCAATACCTAGGTGGAAATCACTATTCCTTTCTATTTCCATTTGTTAGTATATATGTTCACACGACATTTGTTCAGACTTGAACCTCTAGAACTATGCTATGCATGTGTGCATATGCATGTGTGAAATGTGTGTATGATGTGCGTGTATGTGTGTGCAGGTACTTGCATGGCATAACATACATGTGGAAGTCAGAAGACAACCTCAGAATTTTCTACCTTGTTTGAGATAAGGTATCTCTTGTTTATTGCTACATACACTGCAGGGTCTTAGCCCAACCATGGAAGGCTGAGCTGGGTTCAAGGAAAGTGAGTGCGCCACTTGCCGATTGCCCAGCCTCCCAGGATCCTGGAGACAATCAGATGCAGTGGGGAGTCTAGTCAAGCAGGCACTCCTTTATTGCCCCAGAGCAAGCATCTTTTAAAGTAAAACTCCTCAGAGTGGGAAAACAGCCAGCCAATGGTTTTAAAGGTCAGCCTATCAGGCGCCTAGGCGCCCTATGCTTTACCTAGTGAATATGAGCCATTCTACAGTAACCTCATCTGGCAACCAATCACCTTTTTTTGTAAACATCTCAGGACTTGCCCTCCTGACTTCTCCCCCAGTGCCATCTTTAACTAGCTCATGTGCCCTTCAATATACCAGGTTAGCCCACAAACTTCCAGTGATTCTCCTGTCTCTCCCTCCCATTTCCCTATACAGGTATGCTGTTACCACATCCTGCTTTAACATGGGCTCTGGGGATTCAAACTCAGGTTGTTAGCTGTGCGTAGTGAGTATATTACATACTGTGCTGTCTAGCTCCCTAGCCCATTACTCTTCATTCAAATGTCTCACCCACTACCCAGGACATTCGAGATGTTACTTTTTATCAGTCCATATGTTGTAGAGCTCATGTGTTCAGCTTGTGCCAAAGCTCCTATGTTTATTCACTACCTTGCTGCCAAGTCTTTATTCATCCTATGATCACAAACTCCAAGTTTTAAATGTTATATTTATTGAGGGAACATCGTAAAGACATTTTGTGACAGAGCTATGGCCAAGTCAATTTAATTTGATATTCATTACTACAGAAATAGAGGCAAAATGATTGTTTAATTCCTGAAAACTAACTATAGAAAACAGAGTATTTAATTATTTCACAGTATAAAAGGGAGATGTCTATTGTCAGAAACATGACTAAGGTTTCTCCTAAAGGTACAAATGCAGGGGAAGGTGCCACAGATAACCACCAAAAGTTAGCAGGAAGGAATTCCACGCTACGTGGGACTTCTGCTCAATTTTTTTTGTTTGTTTGTTTTTTGAGACTGAGTTTCACTGTATTGTTTTGGAGCCTGTCCTGGAACTTGCTCTGTAGACCAGGCTGGTCTCAAACTCACAGAGATCCACCTGCATCTGCCTCCTGAGTGCTGGGATTTAAGGCGTGCGCCACCACCGCCCAGCATTCTGCTCAATTCTAATAGCTCAGTTAGAACACACTTTATCTCATAGCATCTTTTGAATTCATTTTTCAAAGGAGCATTATAGAGATGAAGTGGTCATCAAATATGTTATATGAACAAGTCACAGAAGTTTAGAACTTCATACTAAGCTGCAAGTTTGGAGACTCAAGAATTCTGGGCAATGGCAATCACAGGCAAGTCAGCAAGGCATGCAAAGATGAACACCATTTTCTTTCCAAATAGTCACAGGCTGCTGATCAGCCTTGGTTGGTGAAATGACAGGAGAAGATAGAAAAAATTCCATGACAAGAAGTGAGGGCTGACAGAACTTTCAGTGGTGCCACCTATATCACGTGTGGCCATTTAGGATGAGTGCCCGTTCCCAAAGTAGATAAGTATAGGGACTGAGGGCCAGGAGAGCAGAAGTCAAAAGGACAGTGTATCTGTACTGGGGATTTGCAAATCAGCAGTCAGAGGACTGATTTGGAAGACAACCTGAACACAGAATCGAGTCAAGTGTTGTCAGTGAGGCCAGACAGTAAACCCAGACTAAGGGAGATCATTAAACGATTCAGAGTAGGAACCTTTACTTTTTCCTATCCTAGTCACGACAAGTCTAAGCACCTTACCTTGTTCAACCTGGAATATGATGAGTTTCAAGGACTTCTGGAGATTGTGAACCCTTGTAGCCAACTCCAATTTGGACATCGTGATGTGGTCTATTTGAGGGACGAAGGGCTTTCTGTGTGCTCTGCCGCGTTCTGCATATGCTGTGGCTTGTCTCTCAACAGCAGCAACATCTTCATCATCAGCCAGGATGTCAATAATGACACTGAGTTTATCATACATCAAGTCACTCTACAGAGGGAAGAAGGAAATGGGATATTGTTGTGAAGGACAGAATGCGGGTAGTGGTGGTTTGGAGAAAGCTTGGAGGGTAGTAATATGCCAGAAGCATGGATGGTAGAAATCAATATGTGAGGTGGTGAAGTTCCAGCTGTGCTGACACCCAAAGGGTATTAGGGGATTAAACATCTGGTCTTTGTTTCTGAGCAGCTTCGGGTATCTATGCATGCTTCACAGAGCCTTCCTCATGTCAAGCTGGCCCTTACATTTGTGTGAAACATGGAGAAATAGAAACATTTTCATGCTAGTGTATTCATATGCATGGTTCTATGGATGTTGGTATGTCTCTGTATAGTGCTGGTGTCTGTCTTCACACCCATGTATTTCTAAGATGTGCATCTCACATATGGTTTAAACTTAGTACAGCGGTTCTCAACCTTCCTAATGCTGTGACCCTTTTATATAGTTCATGTTGTGGTGACCCCTGACCAGAAAAGTTTTCATTGCTACTTCATAACCATAATTTTGCTGCTGTTAAAAATTGTCATGCAGAGCCAGACGGTGGTGGCTCATGCCTTTAATCCCAGAGCTCGGGAGGCAAAGGCAGGCGGATCTCTGTGAATTTGAGACCAGCCTGATCTATAAGAGCTAGTTCCAGGACAGCCTCCAAAGCCACAGAGAATCCCTGTCTCAAAAATCCAAAAAAATTGTCATGCAAATATTTGATATGCAGGATACTGATATGTGGCCTCTGTGAAAGGGTTGTTTAAGCCCCCAAAGGGGTCAAGACTCACAGGTTGAGAACAGCTGCTTTAGTAGTTTGTGAAGTGAGACAAGTTACTTAACCTCCTTATTCCTCTATACCTTAGGTCAGCTGTGAGAATCAAACGAACTGATACATTAAGGCACTTAGAACAAGCTCTGACACAAAGTGTGTGCCATGTACTAGGTACTGTTATAGGAAGTGAGTGTGTGTCTATTTCTTTTTCCATTTTTTAATGTGTGTGTGGTGTGCGTGTTCATGTGTATGCATGTTTTTGCACGTGTGTGTGTGTGTGTGTGTGTGTGTGTGTGTGTGTGTGTGTGTGTGTGTGTGTGTGTGTAAACCTGAGGTTACTGTCAGGGCTATCCTCAATCACTCTTCCACCCCATTCATTGAGCAATATCTCTGAATCAACCTCCCAACTCCCTGATATGAATAGTCTCCAGCCAGATTGTTCTTGGGGTCCCTGTCTCTACTTTACAGTGCTCACCCTTACATGGATTTCTGGGGATCCAAACTCCAGTCTTCACATTTGCACAGGAAGTACTTCAACTGTTGAGCCGTATCCCAAACCTGGCATATTTCTATCATATGCATATGTTTGTAGTGTTCTGGCCTTATGCATGTACAATAAGCATTCTACTGAGTCATATTTCCACCCTTTGTGGGCTTATATGCATATATTTTCACCCATGCTTTGGTGTATTAACTTCACTCACTGATGTTCAATGTACACTTGTGTCTATTCATGGGCAGATTCTTTGTTTATACCTAGGTGCATGGCATGTGTATATGCATGCAAAGTGCCAGTCTTCATTTGGCAAAGATGAAGGTGATGAGACTGGGCTTTCCTAATCAAGATTTACCGCTACTCAACTTTGCCATTACTTTACAATTCCCATTGTTTTATTGAAAAGTGAGTCCTGGATCATGAAGAGATGAGACACTAGGAAAGGAGCTTACTTTCAAAATCACCGACTGCACTGCTGTATTGTTCTGTCTTATTTGGTTCCAGGTCTTTACAATGTCTGTCACAAAGTCGTCCACTGCTGAGCACAGGAATCTGGAAAAATGAGGCAGATGGCTTATGTGATAGAAACTATGAGATTCAGAACCCTTTAATCTTTTGCAATAGAGTCACTATCTATCCTCCTCCTTCTTTTGTCTCACTTTCACAACGCAACCTGCCTTCTCTGTCCTCTCTCCAACTTCTCATTCTTCTTCCTTTGTTTTATTCTCCTTGTATACATGATGAAATGTTCTCCTTTCCCACCTGAGCTCAGTTTCACCTCATTTCCCAAGTGATGCACTTGGGAAGAAGTGTACTAACATTTCTTATCGATGCTTATAAATTACCAGAAAAAGAGAATTTATTTGGCTAACATTTTCACACTGAGCCAATCAGCTTTAGTTTAAAGGCTACCTGATAAAATATAAATGCAATGACACAAGAAAATGTCTTTTTGTGATTACTGCATCTCAGACAAGAATGTAGTAGATGGGCCAAGAATCTTTGCTCCTAAGAGTGCTAGGAAGAACGAATGACCCAAATGTTTTGAAGGGGGTGTGTTGCTTGGGTTATAAGATAGAAGACACCAGTTCCAACCTGCTGCCTTCCCAGGCACTGACAGGTAATATGTCAGTTCCTGGGCCCTGAACATTTGGCTGAAACCACCATCATTTCCCTAACATTTGGTGCTGGCAAGACCTAGGATTCTGAGCCCCCAGAACAAATATATGTCACTCACTAGTTCCTGATGCCCACAGGTAAGGAGTCCCCAGAGAGCCCTGGCCATAATTTTGTGGATCCCCTAGCTCCTGAGCCTGACATGAAAGCAGCCTCTGGAGTATCAGCCCCCAGCCCACATTTCTAACTCCCCCAGCCCACACTTCTAACTCAATGGACTAACTTCAGACATTCAAGTCTCAGTGCAGAGACAAAACACAACATGTCAGTTCAAGAAAATATATCTCCACACAAAAATGACTGATCCCATACTAATGGACTCCAGTGAAAATGACCGAGGAGAATTTCCAGAGAAAGAATGTGGACATACTTGTAATAATTCTTTCAGACAACAAGACAGATACACAGAATAAAGAAGTCAATACAAGATATGAAAATGGAATTGAATAAAAACATACAACTACTGAAGAAAAGCCAAACTGAAATCATGCTAGGAATGAAAACAATCAATAAGCAGGACTTCTTCGTAAGATGGTGGATGAGAAGTCATGCTGGGGCATGTGTAGCTTATCACAGTGAAGGAATTAAAAGGAATCTAAATATGTTATCACCTTGCCAGTCAGCTTCTTCTCTAGTCCTAAAGTTTACTTGATCAACACCCCACCAAAACTCAGATACCATCAAAACGCAGATACCATCGGACCCACAAAACATCTCCACTAGTGACCCAGACTTGCTGCTGTGATCAGAACCAATGCAGCCACTACCACCATGTGGACATTTTACTCCATGTAAAGTAGGCTAAATGAACCCTACCAGTATAGCCACAAAAGGCGTGTTGGTAGGGATTTCACAGAAAGGCTTCCTAGTGACCGCTGCCAGGGCACCATCAGTGCCCCAGTGGGAAAAGGTGAAGTTGTAGGAACTAAACAAAGCTCTAAACTGTGCTGTAGGCACCACCCAGCCACCAGCTGCTCCCAATTTTGCGTGGCTAGATAGTGGAGTTTGCCTCAGTTAGCCACAGAACAGAGGTAAGACAACTCTACATACAAAAGAACCTGAAAGCCTACAAGGGAAGAACTGGACTGATAAAAATCAACACAGAGTATGACCAGGACCAGGACACAGGGAGAAAAGGCAGTGGCTCTGACAAAGAGAACAAAAATCAACATTCAGGACTTCCATCCAGCTCTCCTCCGTCTTCTACAGCTAGTCAACTCTAATGTGCAGTAAGGGCATTCTAGCAGACCAACACTGTCCCCTACTGTTCACAACTTTTGCTGTTTTACCCTCTTTTTCTTTCTTTTGTTTCTTCTTTCCCCATATCCATTCCTTAGCATTACATCTCCTAAATCCCAGATGCTGACACTGTTTATGGCACTGGGGTAAACGCCTTTGCCTCCTCTTATTAGGCTACCATTAATCGGAGCTCCCACATATTAATCCCATTTTTTCTTTGCCTCGAATATTCCCAGTCCTATGAATACCTCTTTCTGTTACTTCCAGTGTAACAACACAATGCTCATCACTAGATCCTATGATATTGTTTACCTCCCTTCCTTTTCTTTTCCATTCTGCTCATACTAGCATGTTAGTATACACAGTAGCATTGGGATTCCTTTATTCCCTAAAGTAATCAGTACTTAATAAGTGTCTGTTCTGTAGTCACTTTCTCCTCTATTATTAGAGCTGTTTAACACCTGGATAGTGATGGGTGCTTCAGACAGTGGTCAACCCTCCATCTGGAGATAGATCCTGGTTCCTGGAACACTATTCTAACCAATAAAAACATCACCACATCTGCCACAATCTAGTTTCTCCTGAGCATTACAAACATACCCACTGAAATAAGAGAGGCAACCAGATAGTAACAAAACAAAAATTAAAACAACAAATCTTAACCAACAATGTCATCCCAAAAGACTGACCCAGTGCAAAGCCCCAGGAACATGAAAGCCAAAGTCAGCTTATCTTCTCCAAAAATTGCCAACCCTATACTCATGAGCCCTAGTCAAAGTGACTTGGACAAAATTCCAGATGCAGAATTCAAAACAACAATTATACATATGCAAACATGTCTCAAATACTTTGAAAGAGAACACAGACAGCGGAAGGAAACAAGGCAGTCAATACAGGGTATGAAAATAAAATTTAATAGAGGGATAGTCATATCTAAAAAAACTCAAACAAAAAATAATGATGGAAATGGAAAAGACACTAGATCAAATAAAATCCTCAGAGAAAACCCTCACTATTTGGATGAATTGTGTAGAAGACAGACTATCAGTGTAAGAAGACAGAATAGAGCACCTGAGACCATTGGAAAACACAGATATTTACATTATAATTCATAACAGTAGCAAAATTACAGTTATGAAGTAGCAATGAAAATAATTTTATGGTTGAGGGGGTCACCACAACATGAGGAACTGTATTAAAGGGTTTTCAGCATTAGGAAGGTTGAGAACCACTGCCATAGAGGAATTGGATCATTCACTCCAAGTCAATGATGCATTTAAAACAGTGCATGAAGAGAACATGCATATACTCTGGGACTCCATGAAAAGGCAAAATCTATGTATTATTATCAAACAAGAAGGAAAAGAATTTCATGCAAGGAGCATAGAAAATAATTTTAATAAGATCACAGAAGAAAATTTTCCAGATTGAGAGGGGCAGACATCCATTCAGGATAGAAGACATACATAAAGCAGCACACAGGACCAGAAAATTTTAACACTAAATATACAGAACAAAGAAAGTATATTGACAGCTGAAAATGAGAAGTGCCAAGTCACAAGTCAAGGTAAATTGGTTGTTGACTCTTCAAGCTAAACCATGCTGTCATCAGCAAGTAGGGGTACTTTGATTTTTTTTCTTGAACTCTGTTTTCTATTACAGAGACACATGTTCATCTACATTCATATTGTCCTCAATACAATAGCTAGTATATTAGTTACTTTTTTGTTACTGTAATAAAATACCATGACCAAAAGCAATTTGATAAAGAGCTTATCTTGGATTATGGTTTGAGAGAGTTAGATGTCCATAATGGTAGGGAAATTGTGGTAGCAGGAACAGGAATCTGAAAGAACACATCTCAGTCATGCATGAGAAGCAGACAAGGTGAGCAGGAAATAGAGCAATACTCCATTGATCAATACTCAATGTCCACAGTGAGGTGCTTCATCCAGCAATACTATTCCTTCTCAACTGTTCTTTAACATGCCCACAAATACCAATTGGAACCAACGGTCTAAATTCATTGAGTCTCTGTGGGGGAACATTTCTCATTCAAATAAGAACAGCTAAGACATGGAATTAACCTAGATGTCTATGAATTGATGAATGGATAATGGAAATTTGGTAACTAGGCACAATGAAATTTTATTTAGCAATACACTGAGTGGGGTTACAAAGACCCAGAGAGTCAAACATTTCATATGTGGATCATGACATCAAATCTTTAGATTTGTATGTTTGATATGGAATACCTGTGTACTCAAGAAAAATAGAATGGAATATTGGTGGGGAAGGGGAAGAAAGATTTTTAGGGAGGACATTTCTTTAATCCATTTTTATTGCAGAACATTTTTATTCTCCCTCAATTTCAATAGATAATTTCTATGGTTATAGTAGTCAGGGTTGGAATACATGTTTCCAGACCCTTCTGGCTTTAAATGCCAAATAGTCAGGTGCTATTCTGATGATCCTGCCTTTTTACATGACCTTTCCCTCTTACAGGTACACTTTCGATATCCTTTATTCTGTTTTTAATGTTTTTTTAAAGATTTAATTATTATGTATACAGAGTTCTGTCTACAGGCGTGCTTGCAGGCCTGAAGAGGGCACCAGATCATGTTATAGATGGTTGTGAGCCACCATGTGGTTGCTGGGAATTGAACTCAGGACCTCTGGAAGAGCCCTGAGCCATCTCTCCAGCCCCCCTGTTTTTAATGTTTTAACTATAATATGTCATGGGAGTTTCTTTTCTGCCCTGTCTATTTGGAGTTCTGTAGGCCTCTTGTTCATGCATGGACATCTTTTTAATTCTGGAAATTTTTCTTCTATAATTTTATTAAAATACATTTTATGTGCTAGTATGGTATTCTTCTCATTCTTTTATCTTTATAAAACAAATACCACTTGATGTAAAATCACAGATTATAGCATGGTGATAGTGAACTACAATTTCTCACCTTCACGAATAACAGCTTATCTGAACAAAAACTAAACAGAGAAACATTGGAGCTAATTGACATCATAAGTCAAAAAGACCTAAGGGATATCTACAGAACATTACACCCAAACATTAAAGAATATATACTCTTCTAGTAGCCCATAGGAATTACAAGCTAAAACAGATTACATATCAG